TCTCTAAAAGATAGATTGTAGGTTTTTGGTTTTTTTTTTTTTTTAAAGCATTTAAATCACATTCTATATAAAACCCCCTTTAACATAGCTCACTGGGGAGGCGGTGTAGCAGATGGCTCTTAGTCAGAGTTGGTGTGAATTCTGGCTTTGCTTTGTGAGCTTGGGCCTGAGCAAGCTTCTTCATTCCTCTTGTTCTCACCTTTCCCACCATTAGAGTTGAGACCATAATACTTACCTCACTAAATGCACATTAAGTGGGAGCCTTCTCCTTTCCACCTCCCACCACCTTTCTCCATTCGGCAGACAGTTACAAGAATGTTGTATGTTAGCCCCTGTCTTGGCACGTGAACTCTTCTAAGAGCTCATAGTGAGAGGCAGGAAGACATCTGACCAGCTCTTGGTGATGCGGTTTAATAGAAGCGGTACAACACTCAGCACTCCCTTAATGCTGAAGAAGCACCAGGTATGGAACCACTACTTGTTTTGGGGGGTGAGTGAGTAGGGGTGTTTACTTTAAACATCTTCTGTGTTTAGTGTTTAGTGGTCATTCAGTACTTGGTGAACATTACACTTTTGTACTTTGTGGTCGGAAATTAGCTTGATCTTAACACGAGTCTGATTTGCAGTGCGTGGCAATGTATTTTTGTCATTGAGTTGACAGTATGGTAGTGCAGATACAGCATTTTTTACAGTGATCACGGTCAGAAGTTACTGGTTTTATGAGACTGAAACCCTCCCAGGACATGAATATTGTCAGCTTGATCATAGCACACAGGATTGTGAAGCTACAATAATTAGGGAGCACTTAATATGTGGCAGGCCTTGGGCAACGTCCTTACCTTCCCAGAGCCTATGGTCTTGGGGGAAGGTGAACTGGGCATCAGATGGGCACAGAATAACTTGGTACACATTATCCTTGTTAGGTGGTAACTTGATACTTCCTTTGGCTCACTCATTTTCTTGTTGCCTTATACTGTTAATTCATACAAAAGAAGAATTGTGATGTCATGATTTGATAAGATATTAAGGTCATTTAAGAATGCTGTGGCATTTATCCAGCGATCCATCACTGATTCAAATTGACTCACTGTCATTATAATGCAGCCAGTCAGGCTGAATTTGACAGCACTTCTCTATTCAGATTTGTGAGATGTCATGTTTCGTGAGTAAGTTGGCAAATGTGAATTTTTCTCCTTTCTTTCTGAAGGGTAAAGGCGTAGCCTCTGCTTCTGAATCCCTGCACCTGTCAAGAGCTGATGGGAATGCCCGAGGCTCTGTCTCCACCGCTTTGCTTATCACCCTTCCAGGCCCACTGTCTGTGCTCGAACTGTGCGCACATATCCTTTAGAGGGCCAGGCCTGCTCCTCCATACCCTTGGTGCTTAACTGGGCGGGGAAACCTGATCTGGTATTGTTGGTTCACTCGATAATTACTTAGTGTTTATGACGAGGGCAAAGGCAGGACTGGGACATGGGAGCACCCTAGGTGGGCTATTCACTGGTCACTCTGGGCAGGCGAATGACTTGATGCCACTTCAGCCTGCTGTTCTTTAAATATTTGTTCACAACATTGTTAAGAGAAGCCAGGAGCTGTGTGAGATATGATAGGGTAGCCAAAGAGCGCCTCTCGTTCCCCCTTTTGCCAGTTCTCAGGATCTCAACTGGCCAGGAGAAAAGTAGCAGACTCCTCGCCTTTTCTTCCAGCCATAGTCTCTATCATCCCTGAGAAAAGGCATAATATTTTAGTTTGATTTCACTAAATTTCCAAAGATGTTTGAACACTCCATTGATGAATTGGTACAGGGAAGCTGCCTTAATATTCAGGCCCTAAGTCTAGCCTTAGAAAGAGACATTGGGCTAGATCCTAAGAATATAGGTAAATAAGATTCTGCCCCAGTCCTCAAGGGACTTGAGACGGTAACTTATTACATGTCATAAAATAGTGGGAGAGAGCAATGGTTCACTTGCTCAGTCATCTCCAGGTGTTTGCGACCCCATGGACTGCAGCACACCAGGCTTCCCTGTCCTTCACCACCTCCTGGAGTTTGCTCAAACTCATGTCCATTGAGTCAGTGATGCCATCCAACCATCTCATCCTCTGTCGTCCCCTGCTCCTCCTGCCTTCAATCTTCCCAGCATCAGGGTCTTTTCTAATGAGTCGGCTCTTCCCATCAGGTGGCCAAAGTATTGGAGTTCCAGCTTCAGCATCAGTCCTTCCAATGAATATTCAGGGTTGATTTCCTCTAGGATTAACTGGTTTGATCTCCCTGCAGTCCAAGGGACTTTCGAGAGTCTTCTCCAACACCACAGTTCACAAGCATCAATTCTTCAGTGCTCAGCCTTCTTTATGGTCCAACTCTCACATCCATACGTGACTAGTAGAAACCATAACTTTAACTATACAGACCTTTGCTGGCAAAGTATTGTCTTTACTTCTTAATATGCTGTCTAGGTTTGTCATAGCTTTTCTTCCAAGGAACAAGCATCTTAATTTCATGGCTGCAGACACCATTTGTAGTGATTTTGGAGCCCAAGAATATAGTTTTTCAATTTCCATTGTTTCCCCATTTATTTGCCATGAGGTGATGGGACTAGAGGCCATGACCTATTAGTCTTCTGGGAAAGCAGATGGAAGAACAGTGAATGTAGCCTGTGGAGGTCAGTGTGGCTCAAGGCAGTGATTCATGACAGTGATCCTAGGGCAGGATCATTGGTGAAGTGAAATACCCTTTCTTAATTTTAAGTAAGTCTGGTGTTCAGAGTTTGAATCTTTCAAATGGATGAAAATAGGATGCTTTCATCTTGCGCAACCTAAAGCCGTAAACTTATGGAATTGCACAAGGCGGGTTGAGGAAGTGTGACATTGCAGTGATTCTTGCCATATTGACCTGGTGGCTTAGATGGTAAAGAAAGATTCTTGACTCCTTGCTACATCTTAAAAGGAATCTATCACTGAGAGATAAATTCTCCCAAATGGAAGTCTTTTCTCAGATTCTAAAATTTTACACTAGGCCTGTGCATTACTACAGAGAAGTTTGTTTCCTCAGACCCTGCTATCTCCACTGAAAGTAAGAGCCCCTGGATGTCTCAGTTTTCAAAGTGAAAGCCTTGGGACCTTTTATGTTTCTATCAGAAAGCTGGTTGTCCCCTATTGTTCCTTAATCCACAGTCCCTTGGGAGTGTTCTGGGAGCCTTCTGAAAAAAAACCTCTTGTTTGAGAAAGGGAGTTCTCAGTGTTTGTCATCTCCAAATCTTCCAGAATACATTTTTTTAAGGTTATCTTGGGATTGATTTTTTTCAGGGAAAATAAACATCTTGTGTCTTGCCTCTGGGGAGAGTAAATGTTTTTCAGAGGGTAGATAAGGCCAGTTTTGTAACAAGCTGGGGAACTCACTGATGCTGCCTCAGCAGCTGGGTTTGTCACAATGACTGTGACAGTCCAAGTCCTATTTTGATCTTGCCTAATATGGAATATTTATTTCTATTCTTGGAAGCATTGTGATTTAGTGCTTTCACATTTCATTATTCCAGCTTGTACTGTTGTTTTGTGCTGGGGAGGAAGAGAGGTGTTAAAAGTGTTAACTTTTGCTGTTGTTTCTAAAATGAATTTGAGTGATTTGATTTTATGCTGAATAAAAACACTGAGCTACATTTTGTTGGTTGTTTTTTTTTTTTTACTTGACAACAGTGACTTCACTCTGAGATGACAAGCTGTCATTGTGAGAGAGTTTGCATTAAGTTCTACATTTGTTTCTTAGCAGAACACTCCAGTTTAGGTAAATGTGAAATGGAAAAGAGTAATGAAACTCATTGTTGAAACATGTTGGGAAGCATTCAAGCTAATTCAAAGAAACGTACAGTAAAGCAACAATGAGATTCTTTTCATACATGGAATTAGTAAAGACTTTTATTTTTAAAGATGATTCCCACCTCTGGTGAGGGTATTACTCATACTGTTTACAGGAAAGAAAATTAGTATAATCTCCCTGGGAAATAATTTGATATATCAGAAGCCTTAAAATGTTTATGCTCTTTAGCCTAGTACTCTTCCAGAGGTTTCTGCAAAGGAAATCACATGAACAGAGTTATGTATTAGTAATAATATGCATTATTAGTAATAAAAAGAGAAAAATCTATGATTCAGTAGGGAAATGGTTTTGTAAACTATGACATATCCATGTGTGAACTGTTATGACTTAAAAATGATGTTTAGAGAAACTACAACATCAAGAAAGCCTATGAGAAATGATGAGTCAAAAAGATCTCAATATCTTATCATTGAATTTTATAATGGTATAATTGTATAAAACTAGCAGGGCAGCAAAAACCAAAACAAAAATAGAACTGGAAGGAGAAAATGATTCTAAACACTAAAGTTGCTTTCTCCCCATGTTTCCTTATTTTCTGTAAGAAGCATAGATATTTTCAATGAATTTTTCTTTTAGTTAAGAGAAAGCAATTTTCTTGTAGTGGTGCCTTAGATATAATGCTTATCTCATTCTTCATTAAAAATTTAAAGTTCATATTTTACGCCTTATAAATTGCCATGGAGATGGGATTAAATGCTTAACTTATGATGTAAATGCGTGCTAAGTCATTTCAGTTGAGTCCGACTCTTTGCAACCCTATAGATCACCAGACCCCTCTGAACATGGGATTCTCCAGGCAAGAATACTGGAGTGGGTTGCCATGCCCTTCTCCAGAGGATCTTCCCAACCCAGGGACTGAACCTGCGTCTCTTAGTCTCCTGCATTGGAGGCAGGTTCTTTACCACTAGTGCCACCCGGTGATTTATTTACCTCCCTGGGTTTTAGTTGACAGCTTTTGTGAGAGGTTAAAACTGACCTCTTTAACAGCAGTTGCTTTATTAAACCGTTATCTTTTGTATGTTTCAGAAAGTTGTTATAGATGTTTGAAACTTTAGAACCACAAAAATGGATAAAATTGTCTTGTAGTTTGTGATGGATAAAATGTAACGGTATGTTTATGATTTCTCTTTAGGAATTTTTCAAATAGAAACTAATTGCAGCATTTCCAGTTGACCAGCATTCATAGGGTAAGATTAATATTCTGAATTGTGAACACATGGTAAAGATAATTACTTTTACATTAGTAGCTTGGGGCAAATAAATACTGAATACTTAGTATGTAAAAAGATTACTATTCTTACAGATGTTTTGAGTAAAATCCTTTTGATGTTTTAAATCCAATTAAACAGAAAATTAAATCTGTATACATTTTGGTAAAATATCATCTTACTATCCTTTGTTTATTTTGTATGTAGGAAAGGATATGTGTGTATGTATGTGTTAGATATTTGTAGTTTTTTAACGTTAAAGATCTAAAGTATATGATAAATGTTTATGAGAAGCTTAGACTCTATGCCTCCATGTCTCTATTTTTCTTATTTTTGTTTAAGGTAGCATTTTTAATGCATAGAATTGGTTTGTTTGGTATGTTTCCATAATAAAAAGATGGCCTTGCTTTCCTCAAGTAGGTAAGTCAGAAGTAAACAAGTCCCATCTCCTGCTGCTTCCTGCAAGCATCATTCATCTTTTAAGTTGTGGAAGTTTAATCTTGAATTAGCTCTGTGGCAGAGCTTTTGACTTGGACATAATGAATGATTAATTTTTCTGTATTAAATTGCATGCTCTCCAGTGTTCTGAATATGGCATATGTCGTAAAGCTGTGTCACCCAGCTCTGAACACAGTCCCGGTAAAGCAGTGCTGAGGACAGTGGACGTGTCTCCTGCTGTTTTCTGAGCATTCTTCTTTTTACGGATGAAGGTAGACACTTGGACTTCTTGAGTATATCCACATTTTCCTGTTGAATTACCAAGTTCACTATGAATTCTGAAAAGCTAATAAACAGATCAACCACTTCTCTTCTCATGACTGACTCTTCAGTGGTTTTTCCACCACTCCTATACTACTTGTTATCTGAACTGTTTCTCTTGCCTGCAGGTCCTCGTTTACTCTTACTTTCCCCAGGCTTCTGACACCGTGGCCAAGTGTCCTCCTTTCTGATCTGCACACATCCTAAGCTTCTTGTGCCTTCTGCATAAGGTGATCTCCCCCAATATCATCAGATGGTTGGCCCCATTCTCATCTACATTCTAGTGGTCCCTCTAAAGAGAGAGGCCTGCCCTGACTCCCCAGCCTAACGTAGATGTGTCTTCTTCATAGCTTTTCTGATTTTATCATGTGCATGTATCTGATTTTCTGTCTCTCCTTACTACACAGTAAGGTCCCTGGGAGCCAGGATCTTGTCCGTCTTGCACATTTCTGTATTTCCCTAACACTTAGAACTCTGTCTGGCGCATAGTAGACATTCTAAATATTTGTTGCATAACAGACTAAAATCCTGACCTCTCTTCGACAAGCACTACTTTACTATTCTCTGTAATGTTTCACCCATTCTTTTTGGGGATTTTGTTTGTGTAGAACCAAATGCAGTGCTTATTTTTGGCCACCATCCTACTTATTTTGGCACTGAAATGACAGTATAAGATGGTGTTGCTAACTCTCAACTATGCATGTCATCTCTCCACAATAGGATTTTAAATCCCATGAAAGCAGAAACAAAGCCTCTTGTATCCTTGGTATACCTTTGTAGTCCTAAATTCCATGACTGAATGCATGTAAATGTTAACTTTAGAGAAAGGGTTAAGACCAATGGCTTAATCATATTTTTAAGTATCTAGAAAGTATTTTTTAAAAATATAATTCTGGTTTGTGCGTCTTAAAGCAAGAAGGGGGGAATACTTCTCATTTTGATTTATAGTTTAAAATATTTATAACACAGAAATGTTCTGGACTATTTTTTCAGCTTCATGGTCTAAGAAAGCCTATTATTACTTAGGCTAAGTGACCAGAAGCAATGCTCTCAACTTCCCAGTTCTTTTCAAATTAGGCAATAACCCCACATTGTACTACCCTGTGACCCTAGAGAAGCTACTTAAACACCTCTGAAATTTAGTTTCTTTATTTTAAAGAGTTAGACTCTGATCTCTATGGTTTCTTCTTGGGTTAAATAGTCCGTATGATTCTGCTAGTGTGAAAGGTAGGTCACCTGTGGAAGAATTAGAAGCAAATGGACTGATGACTGCTGTTGTCATTTAAAAGGAGGGCATGCGTGATTCCCCAGGGACTGCGCAGGGGCTGAGTTTGGCTCAGCTTTGTGGTTTGCTGACCCTGGGATGATGGGAGGGGGTCAGGAAAACAGTTTTATAAACAATGAAGATGTTAGAGAAGGGTTTGAGGTTGCTGTCTGCTTACACATTCTAGGAATTGTGTAGCCACTGGTGGCTTATGCTCCACTGTTAATGAGATAGTAATAGGGCTGCAGCATCTCTTCATTTTATTCTAGATGATTTGGTAGCTTATTTAAAGCATCAAAGAATTGAGAGGTGTTTTTCTGAAAGCACAATTACCATGTAAATTAAATATATGATGTATTTCATAACCATCAGAAACAAGAAGTGAAGCAATGTTCCCTAAAGTTCAACAACTCCGATTTAATTAGAATTTCTAGAGATGGTCACATGCTCTCAATTGTCATATTCAGTAACTTTCTCTTGGGGCTTTAGATGATTAGGGTAATTTTTCTAATATTTTGCATATCATTTGATTGTTTCACAGATCCCTTACCACTCTGCAGCTTTGGATAAGAAGCTGCAGAATGACAGTTACCTGTCACTATTCTCCTTTGGTTTCTCTGTTTTGACTGTGATGTCAGATCCTTTGGTTTCTGTGCTCCAGAAACACTGTGCTGCTCTGTTACCTGCTTCTCTGTTCACCTTTACTCTTTGTTGTCTGATAGCCCTTCCTTATCTGGTATCTTATAAAGGAGAGAGAGATTCTAGTCTTATTTCACCAAATTCTTCCAAAGAATTCATTTCTTTAGCACTATCTGCTGCTTAAATGCTCAGGACTTCCCATGGTGGGTTAAAGATGGCTGCAAATACTTTGTTATTTTTTTCCCATCAAGAGATGGAGTCTGTTTCCCGTCCTTTTAAATCTGGGCTGGCCCTGTGTTTTTTCCTGACCCGTCGCATGTGGCAGAAATGGTATGGGGTAAGGCGGGGCCTTAAAGGGATTTGTAACTTCTGCTTTTGCGTGCTTATAATTTTCTTAGTTGGAACTCAGCCTCCTTGCTGTGAGGAAGCCTTAACAGCCATGTGGAGGAGTGGCAAGGCCCCTGGTCAGTAGCTGAAGCTGAGGTCCAGGCCAAGCAGCCAGCCAGAACACCAGTCCTGTGACTGAGGCATCTTGGACCTTCCAGCCATCCCAGTGTTCCAGCCAACACCGTGCCAAACAGAAGAACTGCCTCTTCATCCCAAAGAACCATCAGAAATTATGAATGGTTATTTCAGCTGCTAAGTTTGGGGCTGGTTTGTTACATAGCAATAAAGAACCAAAATAAAAATCGGTACCTAGAAGCAAGGTGTTGCCACAACAAAACATCCGGCATTGGCTTTGAGACCAGGTAGCAGTGGACCTGGAGGGGAAATAAGAAGATTATTAATGGTGGCTGGAAGGGCAGAAAGGAAGTTTCTACTGGAGGATATAAAACAGTACCCTTGTTATGTGCTGGCAGAAAACTTGACAAGACTGACAGAGTAACATGGAATATAGAAAAATGAACCTAATCGATTTGTATATCTAGCTTGGATTTTCTTTCAGAATATTGGAAGTACTAATTGACTTCTTAAAAACATTTAGGACTAAAGTAAGAGAGAGATTAATTATAGAAGAAACAGTTCAGATTTTAAGTAGACTTTTAGAGGACTTATTTCCACTTCAGAGTTTTCTGGGATCATGAATAAAACTGTTCCTTATTCCTAGCTTCTCTTCCAGGCAAAAGGTACTCAAAGATGAGATCCAGAGCAGCGATAGTGCAGTAAAATTTGATCTTAAGGTAGGAATAAAGGCCAGGGCACTTTAAAGGTGTAGGGCCCTGTACTAAGACTTCAGAAAGATTTAGGGCAGTGCTTCTTCTCAGCTAGATAGAAAGGCTTCTAAGAATCTTAAGGGTGTTGTCCCATAGTATTCCGAACATGATTTAGATGACAAGATCCTGGACTTTAAGCCTGAACTTGATGCCATAGTGGAATAAAACTTTGGGCAGAGGGCAGGACTTGGGAGAGGGTGAGGCTTTCATGTGAGAGGAATGTAAATCATTTGTGGGTAGAGAGTAGACTGATGTCTGCACATTCTTTGCCATTCTTCCACTGAGAGGAGGCATTTATTCCCGAATAAATCTGGGCTGGTACATGACTCCTTTGGCCAATAGCATATGCTGGGCATGACACTGTGATTTGAGAGCTGTGCCATAAAAGAACTGCAGTTTTCACCTCTCTGTTTGGAATGCACCATCATAGAACCCAGGCACCATGCTGTGTGAGGATGCTCGAACACCCACAAGAAGTCTCACATGAAGTTCCAGTCAGCACTGAGTACCAGCCTGATGAATAAGGACATTTTGGACCTTCCAGCCATCTCTGTGCCAGCCAACTCCAGGAAGTGAAAGAACCACCCACAGAATCACAAGAAATAAACTTATTTTTAAGCCACTAAGGTTTGGAATGTACAGACTAACTCGCCAAAATCCTTCCCAACTATATGCTTCCGAGATCTTGCTTCTCCAAGGAGAGGCTTAATCCCTTAGATATATCCTGCCTAACATGTGAACATAATACTCTTCTGCCTTATGCATTTTTGTACATTCAGTTATTTATTGTACAAATACTCACTGTACACCATGTGCTAGAAACTGTGGAAGATCCTATAATGCCATAGGATCAGAATCAGAATTCTTTTGACCCTGCCTTCTCCATGGTCCTCTCTTCGGATATCTGATGTTGCTAAGTGGTGTTGAATTTTCACTTACAGTGACTATTTTATTCACTGCTTCTTTTCAAATATATTGCAGAGGTTTTCAGTATTATTTCTGGCCCACATGATTGAAATAACCTTTCAGCTGCCCCCATACCCCTCCGTCTTAAATCCATCCTGCAAATCTCTGTAGCTCAGTGACTCACTGGTCCCCCTTCTCATCTGAAGGGTCCTGTGGTTGATGGTAGCTGTTAGTTTGTACTCTTTCGGGAGGGGGAGCACTCTAGACATCTGAAACTTACAGGAAGACTTAAAAGACAGGCAATTTCCCCAGCTTTTTTGTTGCCAGTCTATCTTGTGAGCTCTCTCCCCTGATCTCACTTCCACCAACCTAAAGAGTGGCATCTGGTTTTAAGTTTCTTATAAAAGTGCTCCAGGTGGTTCTAATGTGAAACCAAAGTTGAGAACCACTGTCTTAGATTTGTGATTCTCACAAAGTAGTCTTGCACCAGTAGCATCAACATTACTTAAGAATTTGTTAGAAATACACATTCTTGGGGCCTACTGCAGACCTAATGAATCAGAAACTCTGAGAGTGGGGCTTTTCACATGATTTCACAAGCTCTCCAGTGATTTATGAGCATTAGTGTTAGAGAAACACTTTACTAGATGAATCCTATAGTTCCCTTCTAGATCACAAAACTAATAACTGGCTAGTGATTCTTCAAGAGCTTGAGGAATGCTAAATAATTGTCATCAGACCTCTGAAGAGTGGTTCAGAGGATTATTTAGTATAAAACAAAGGAGCAAATGAGTGCTGGACACTAATGCCTTATTTCCCAGAGTGAATTTAAATTTCAGCTAAAATATGTTAGACCCAAGAAACATCTTGATGAGAAGAGTAGGACTAAGTATTTTTAAAGACTATAAAGTGATTTTTTTTAAGTCAATTATCAGTGAGAGTAGTGTACAGAAACCCCATTTTGATTTGTTTGGCTATGTCCCTGCCTGGAGCCAGAGACAGAGACCTTTGAAGTAGCGTCCAGTTCTCAGCATAGAATGACTCTAAATACCATCTGATCATCATTTGTTTATTTTTTCACTGGTTATTTTGGAAATGCTTTCAAAGTAAAATTAGGACTAGTGGGAAGTAAAGACTGTCTAACTTGAATGTTGTTGTTCCAGTCTTAGAGACTTCGGGGTGAGATTGTCAAGTGAATTCATGCGCTTTGAAAAGCTTTTATGATTTTTTAATGAGGTTTAAAAGCTAAAGGAATGGGATTAAGACCATAAAATCCTTTACTTTTAACATTGTTTCTTTGAACTGATTTAGTGCTTTTGTATATTAGAAATAGAGATCTGATTTGGATTGAATCCTCATTGTTTGCAAAAATATGGTCTGGAAAAAATTTCCTGGACACACAAACAGTATTCAACTTTGTAACGACAAAGGACAGCTATGTTCTAACTCTCCAGTTAAGCACTTCAATTAGAAAAATTAGCATCATTTAATATATAGGAATGCTCGAGACTTCACACAGCATTAAATGCAGATGCTATATATTTATATAAAGTCTTAAAGAGTTCAGTGGAATATGTTTAGTAGAAAAAGTTTAGCTGAGAAAGCAGATTATATAGTATGTAACTGGAGACATTGCAGAAAGCTATACATTTATAGCCTGGTCTTTCCAAAGATTAAAATGGAGCCCACTTATAGTGCAGATGTTGGGGTAAGTTGATGTTTTAGTCCCTTCAGGCTGCTATACAGCAAGCTACCGCAACAAACATTTATTTCTCAAAGTTTCTGGAGGTTGGAAAGTCTAAGATCCTCAGACTCAGTGTCTGATGAGAGCTCACTTCCTAGTCTGTAGATGGCCACGTTCTTTCTGTTTCCTCACAAAGTGGAGGGGGCAAGAGAGCTCTCTGGGGACCCTTTATAAGGGCACCAATCCCATTCACTAAAGCACCATCCTTGTGACCTACCTCCCAAGGTCCCACCTCCTAATCCTGTCATGTTGGGGCATTAGGATTTCAAAATACATATTTTTCAGGGACACAAATATTCAGTCCATTGTAGTTAGGGGAAAGAGTTAAATATTCAACTTTTTCTTAGCTTTTGAAAGAACTGAGATTGGCATAGTTAACTGGATTGAGTGGCCTAGACAATGTGGTCTGGTGTGGAGGAGCCTTGAGATTTTATTCTGAGGACCTAGGTTCTAGTTGTAACTATTTCTTGCTGTTCTTGTCACCTTGGACAAGATAATACCTTTGGGCCTGCTTTATTTTCCGTGTTTATAAAATGTAACAAATCATACTTATTATAATGGTTTGTTGCAGGTATAAAACTAGTGTAAGTGAAAGTGCTTTGACAGTAAGAAAACCGATATTAGATTATTAATAATAGATATTTATTTGTTCTCTTATTGATGAGGAACTTATCCAAGGAAGTCTAAATTAGGTGATTAGAGGAAAAGTTTATAATTCTTAAAAAGATGAACAGGAAAAATGATTTACAAATAATTTAGAATAAATGTCACAAATTTGTAGTGAATTGTGGTCCTCTAACAAGGTTAGTTATAGTAATCTCTCATTCTGGTTATTTTAAAACCATTACTGTAGTTGGAAGTTTGTGATTCTGTTTTTTTCTTCTTGTGTCTAAAGTAGAAAATATATTTGCAGTCTTTAGGGAAACTGTGTTGTATAGTGAGTATTGTGATGGCTGGGCAGCATTTTAGAATTATGCAATAAATTCTCTCCTGGCACATTACAGCTGCAATGCAGTGGAACAATATGTAAAATGTTTCACACACCAAATGTCTTTATCGTGCTTACTACACATAAATGCAGTTGTCTATTATATGTTGTCAGACTTTTAAAAATGAATTGTGAATAAGAAACTCATACTCCAGTGGTGCTAAGTATGAGTTAATACACGGTTGGATTGTCACACACTGTGCTTTCTGGCCTGAAAAATAATTTGATCCTGGGTAGTAGTTATAAAGACGCTTTTACACATGGATTGGTAAATCCAAAGTAAATTTCAGACATGCTAACTTTTTGATCTTTGAAAATGACAAGGTTACAAGAGTATTGCTAAAAGTACCTTAAGTATAATTTGGGGTCAGTACTCTGAGCTGGATTTCGAGTACTTAATAAACCAAAAAAAGGATTGAATATTCCAGGCAAATATATAAGCCTTCTCAGCAACTTTTCAGAGGATACATAGGCACTCAAAAATATAATTTTCACACCCAACTAAAAAAAATTTTGTATGTTTTTAAATGTTCTCACATTTCAAACGAATCAGTGTATGTATATTTAAATTATTGAAAATGATTGAAATAGATGCTAAGAATGGCTTTTATTAACTTACTGTGTACAAAGCGAAAACCTATTAACGTAAAGGATAGCTACATTTAATAATATAATTTCAGAGAATTTCAGTCTTATTTCTGAGCTGTGTAAGTTATTAACTTGTAACTATGTTTAATGAATTAGTAGTCTGAATTTTAAGAGCACTGAGTCTTCTTTGGATAGATGTGTGATAAAGTGCAGAAATTATATGATTTGACAGGGCATCTGATGAATGCAAATAAGACCAACTGAATGAGCAAAATTAGAGTATGTAGACTGCCTGGAAAAAGCTAAGTGTTCACCCAAATGTTGTAGCTATGGCACTTTAAAATATGTTATTAATAACATGTAAATTTCTGTAGAAACATTTCTATAAATTAAGGAAGGTCAGAGGCCGTATGCGATCTGGTCTGTGGATGGGGTCTTATAATATAAGTAGCTTTGCCAGAATGTCCTCCAGTGTGAAAAGTAAACTGAGCTATGAAAATCCACTTGCCATGTCTTATGATGGAGAGGGGCTCTAAAGACAGTATCCCCAATTTTGTTTGTTTGAATGATCACAGCTATTTCAAGATATCTATACTTTCTCTTAGAATGAAGACAATCACAGAGATGGTGTGTCTAAGAAATTTCAAAAGGTGTAGGCCTCCTGATTGAAGTACAGTCAACTTACTGGATTCATTTTTTTTTTTTTTTCATTTTAGTAAGTATAAACATTTAAAGTATATTGTTTTGGCCAATGTTGACTTGTATTCTTTGTTGAATCAATGTTTGCTGTCTGTCAGATACCCTTATTGTTAAAGCTGTTTGTGTTTATGTTATTCTATAGTTTATTGTGTAGCTTTAATGAATTTAACTGAGGATCTTTGAGAGGACAAATAAAGCTATAGACTTTGAGCTGGCAGAGCCCTTAGAGATGATCTCTTTCACTTTCTTTATCCATTACAAGAAATTCCTTCACAACATCTTTGACAGATGGTCATCTTATTTAGCTCAGTCCTGGTAGGGAGAAGGGCCTAAACTATTTCACAGAACTATTTCTGTGGATGTCCCGGTACAAATTAAATCAAAATACCACTTTCTAAAATGTGCACCCTCTTAGTTCTGCCTCTGGAAGAAATCCACTTATTCTTTAATCCACGAGGTAGTCCTTCAAAAAGGTAAAGATGAATTCTTAGACTCCCCTAGTCATCTTTTATCTCAGCTGAATATCATCAATTTCCTGTGTTCCTCCAAGGGAAATGGTTCGTAGACAAGTAGCTCCTGATTATTTCAGTGTCCAATTAGTCTTTAACCTGTGACTCAATGTTGGGTTCCAGGTGTGATCTCACCAGGCAGGCACAGAAGGACCATTGCCCCTTTATCTGGGTTCATGAATTAATATGGCCACAGATTACAGTCATATTATAGCTGTATGAAGCATAAATATAGCTATATGTTGCATAAAAGCTATGACACAGTTAGCTTAAAACATGCACTCATGTCAACTAAAATCCTTAGGTATTTTTCCCATGTTCACCCAGCAGTGTCTTCTGCCATCCTTCTCTCCCATCGTACTTACAGTATTTTGGGGTCCAAGTCCAGACTTTCTATCTGTTGCCTATAATCCTCTTGTTTTGGGTTTTTGTCATGTCTTGACACAGTTATAATTAACTGCAGTGGAGTTAGCAGAAAGGGAGGAGTTGAGAGTTAGATCTTTCTAACTCTCCACTAAACCAGAATAAAGGAGGGAAGCCCTGGAGAGTTATTTAATCAAGTCATGGGTCCTAAGAGGAAGTTGAATCCATATAGTATGATGTTGCCTAGAAAGGATGCAGGTGGAAACTCATGCTGCAGGCCAGTAGTTAAAATCAGAGATCCTGGGATGCCCTAGCAAGGGGGAGAGCATGAAGGTATAGGGCTCAGAGTCAGATGGCCCGTTAAATGTTAAAGCTGATGAGCAAAAGAAAAGACACTTATAGGTACCAGAGCTTCTGTAATGGGATTTTAGGGTTCAAGGCAGGATACCAGTCCCTCAGAGGAGGACTGATGAGAGCAAAAAAGTTTTTCTTGGTGATGCTACCAGGACTAGGGTATCTAGAGAGAAACTCAGGCCCAGGGTAGACGGTAAGACTTTAGACTCAAAAAAGTGCAAAAGAAGTCCTTGGATGAAGGTTGTAGCTGGACCACTAGCAAGGATGACCATACTACTGTGATTCTTCTTAACCAGAATTGTTATCAGATCCACGTATTTCCTTTTATCTGTCTTTACCCTGTGCCATCATATAGGTGGTCTGGATTTTACCAGTTAACAATTTTTAAACAATTGGTTTATGTAAGGCTGAACATCATGTAAGTCATTTCTGTAAGGAGCAATGTCTGAATACTTTTCAATATGAAAATGAAAAATCTACCTTGTTGTTTCTGAAGGCAAAAATAATAATAGCATACGCCCTTAATAATTTGTACGATTAGTACTTTGCCGTCAAAACACTAAATACAAGCGAGTCCCCATAGTAGGGTGTTGTAACTAGGGCTTTCTTCCCCATCCATTTTTTTAAGCCATTACCGTTATGTGTCAGCTTTTAAGTATTCTAAGTTGGATATGAATTTAAGTTACAAAGTTAGAGCTTGAGGGAAGAGGAGATAATATATTAAATCATAATTTTTCTGAACATAGATAGGATTGGTAGATCCTGCTAATCCTAAGGGGTGATTTTATAAAGTAGTGCTCGCTCAAAGGAAGTTCCTGTAGTGGTTGAAACACAGCTCCTAGGCTGTAACCAATGCTCCAGGCTTGGAAGTGAGATGTGAAATAGAACTTACTCAGACCATTTAGAAGGTACAACATGTGGTTGTTAGAAATCAGTAGCATAGGAACAGAATTTCCTAATGTTGATTAAGAAAATTCAGCTTCTAGTTTTTAATAGATTAGCATGAAGTGGAGATGCAGGAGGAAGCTAGATAGTTGCTTCACGTCCTACCCAGATACCTTTGCAGAGATCCAGTCTAGCGATCACCAAATAGTCTCTCATCTAAGGGACTTTATAGTTCTCAGTTGGCATAGCCTAAGGTTTTGAATGAAGCCGAGGGACTTTGATACTTTTTCGTCATCACCCCTGCCTGCCTGGTTTTGCCCCTGAGCTAAATCCTCCTTGGATATGTACAAACATTAAAGTTTAAGCTTACTTGGGGTACTTGCTTCAGCAGTTTTTCTTTTATTTTCCTCTTCCAGTTTCCATCCTCCTACAAGGGAAAGCCATGATTACACTAACAGAGCTAAAATGCCTAGCAGACGCCCAGTCATGTTATCACATCCTGAAGCCGTGGTGGGACGTCTTTTGGTATTACATCACCCTGATCATGCTGCTGGTGGCCGTGCTGGCTGGAGCCCTCCAGCTCACACAGAGCAGGGTTCTGTGCTGTCTCCCCTGTAAGGTGGAATTTGACAATCACTGCGCCGTGCCTTGGGACATCCTGAAAGCCAGCGTGAACGCATCCTCCGATGCCGGGATGCCACTTCCGCTGCCCCTCAGAATCCAGAACGACCTCCACCGACAGCAGTACTCCTACATTGACGCCGTCTGTTACGAGAAGCAGCTCCACTGGTTCGCCAAGTTCTTCCCCTACTTGGTGCTCTTGCACACCCTCATCTTTGCAGCCTGCAGCAACTTCTGGCTTCACTACCCCAGCACCAGTTCCAGGCTCGAGCACTTTGTGGCCATCCTGCACAAGTGCTTCGATTCTCCCTGGACCACCCGCGCCCTGTCAGAGACGGTGGCCGAGCAGTCAGTGAGGCCCCTGACCCTCTCCAAGTCCAAGGTTCTGCTCTCCTCCTCGGGGTGCTCAGCCGGCGACGTGGATGCCAACAAGCAGTCACTGCCCTACCCACAGCCTGGCTTAGAGTCAGCTGGCATAGAGAGCCCGACCTCTAGCGTCCTGGACAAGAAGGAGGGCGAACAGGCCAAAGCCATCTTTGAAAAAGTGAAAAGGTTCCGCCTGCACGTGGAGCAGAAGGACATCATCTACAGAGTGTACCTGAAGCAGATCATAGTCAAAGTCATTTTGTTTGTCCTCATCATAACTTACGTTCCGTATTTTTTAACCTACATCACTCTGGAAATTGACTGTTCAGTGGACGTGCAGGCTTTTACTGGATACAAGCGCTACCAGTGTGTGTACTCCTTGGCAGAAATATTCAAGGTCCTGGCTTCATTTTACGTCATCTTGGTTATACTTTATGGTCTCACCTCGTCTTACAGCTTGTGGTGGATGCTGCGGAGCTCTCTGAAGCAATATTCCTTTGAGGCGCTGAGAGAAAAAAGCAACTACAGCGACATCCCAGATGTCAAGAACGACTTCGCCTTTATCCTCCATCTGGCTGATCAGTACGACCCGCTTTACTCCAAACGCTTCTCCATATTCCTGTCAGAGGTCAGTGAGAACAAACTGAAACAGATCAACCTCAACAATGAATGGACGGTCGAGAAACTAAAAAGCAAGCTTGTGAAAAATGCCCAGGACAAGGTAGAACTGCACCTTTTCATGCTAAACGGTCTTCCCGACAATGTCTTCGAGCTGACAGAAATCGAAGTGCTAAGCCTGGAGCTGATCCCTGAGGTCAAGCTCCCCTCGGCGATCTCACAGCTGGTCAGCCTCAAGGAGCTCCACGTGTACCACTCGTCCCTGGTGGTCGACCACCCCGCCCTGGCCTTTCTAGAGGAGAATTTAAAAATTCTTCGCCTGAAATTTACTGAAATGGGGAAAATCCCACGCTGGGTGTTTCACCTGAAGAATCTCAAGGAGCTTTACCTGTCGGGCTGTGTGCTGCCTGAGCAGGTGAGCACCATGCAGCTAGAGGGCTTTCAGGACCTGAAAAGCCTGAGGACCCTCTACTTGAAGAGCAGCCTCTCCCGGATCCCACAAGTCATCACGGACCTCCTGCCTTCACTACAGAAGTTGTCCCTCGATAATGAGGGGAGCAAGCTGGTTGTATTGAACAACCTGAAAAAAATGGTCAACCTGAAAAGCCTGGAGCTGATCAGCTGTGACCTGGAACGTATTCCACACTCCATTTTCAGTCTGAACAATTTGCATGAGTTAGACCTCAGAGAAAATAACCTTAAAACTGTGGAAGAGATCATTAGCTTTCAGCACCTCCAGAATCTTTCCTGCTTAAAGCTGTGGCACAATAACATTGCTTATATTCCAGCCCAGATCGGGGCATTGTCTAATCTAGAGCAGCTCTCTTTGGACCATAATAACATTGAGAACCTGCCCCTGCAGCTTTTCCTATGCACCAAACTACATTATTTGGATCTAAGCTATAACCACCTGACCTTCATTCCGGAAGAAATCCAGTATCTGAGTAATTTGCAGTACTTTGCTGTGACCAATAACAACGTAAGTAAATCCATTCTTCCCCTTTTTTGGCCAGTCATTTGAGCATCTGCTGTTGCAGTGTGTGATGTCACTAAAGATAATGGACCCTAAGTCATGCTAAGCATCTTGAGCTTGTCCTGACTACCACTTACTAGACATGTGACTGTGGACGAATTATCAAAACCCTGAGAGTCAGTTTTTAATGTAATTTACAAGTTGTCATGGAGATTTTATGAAAAAAAAAATATATAAGCATTTGGCACAGTTTCTGGCACGTAGTAGGTACTCAAATATTCTCTTTATCCTCTTTCCCTGTTTTTTAACATAAACATCACAAAAGTTATGGCAGAGCTTAGTTTCATTTCAGAAAAGGCTTAAGTACCATATTTAGAAAGTTTCATAAAATTTTTCAGCTTTCCAAGTCTGACATAGGAGAACTTCTTGTAGAAAATTCTGGGATTGTGAATTATTCATAAGTTCTTTCTGTGATGCAGTAAGAAACACTTGAAATCTCCATGCACGTCTAGAAAGACGATTCAAAATGAAAGGCCTGGTTCTGTAATGCAGCACTAGGGCTTCTTAGAAGCTTTTTCCAGCATCCATGCTTTAAAAATGAACCATAATTTGCAACAGTAAAACCAAATTAAGGAGAACTTAACTTAGCTGAAGCAAGAAAAAACAGAATAAATGAGTAGTTTCCTAGGTTAAAATGTGAAGAAGGAGGAAAAAGACAAAAATCATGTTGGCTGAAAGGGCAAGAGACTGATGGTAATATCCATATGGAAAGAAGAAAAAACTTGTCAGAAATCAGCTCTGCCAAAAGATGAAAGTGACTCCCCTCTAGTTAAAGTGGGAACTACTTTCTTCTACCCCACCCAAAAATGTATTATCTCCTAGACTTTTTTATTTATTTATTTTTAATTGAAAGATAATTGCTTTACAATATTAACTTGATTTCTGCCATACATCAACATGAATTAGCCATAGATGTACTCCTAGACTTTTTATAGTTTATATTTCATGCTAAATATATCTGTGAGCATGGAATTGGCCAATAAACATATTGATCACCAGACAGTGTTTTAAGAAACCATAGATTGTTGGAAAAATACCAGAGTTGGGGAAAGAATAGAATTTATGCTGACTTTCAGAACTCTGTGGCTTCACTATATGTAGAAGGATAGAACCCATTATAAGATTATGAGGTTTTAAAACTCCTTTAAAAGTTAGCAGTGTACCTTAGAATTACCTGGAGGGCTTATTGAGACACAGATTTCTTGGCCCCACTCCCAGGGTTTTTCATTCAGTAAGTAGGTCTGGTGTAGGAACCAGGAGTTTATAGTGCTAAAAATCTCAGGTGAAGCTGGTGCTGCTGGTCTAATGACCATACTTTGAAAATTACAGGTCTAGAGATTTAGCATTAGTGTTGCTTAATTCAGAGAAGGCAATGGTGCCCCACTGCAGTACTCTTGCCTGGAAAATCCCATGGATGGAGGATCCTGTTAGGCTGCGGTCCATGGGGTCGCACAGAGTCGGACACGACTGAAGTGACTTAGCAGCCTTAGCAGTAGCAGCAGTTGCTTAATTATGCCGTTGATTAATATTAGCATTTTGGTCACAGTTTTTCCATTGTTAAACCTGTACTAAAAAATATAAATAATTATTTTGAAAGGTATTGGTTTCACCAAGTTGTTGTCCAATTAAATCACTTCATGGAGTTTTGAAAGTCACAGCTGATTAAATTTTCATCTAACCATAATTATCTTAATCTATAAGCAAGTTAATGATCATCTCTAGTTTAATGTAATGAAACTGTGAGACTGTTGGTACTGTTGACACTAAGTTTATTGACCTCTTTTGTGGCTGAAAGGAAGACTAGGTGTTAGTATGAGACATATTTTGTCTTGAATAAGGAAAGGGTACTTGATAATCAAGCATATGAAAATTCTTATGCTTAAGATAATTTATGGCCCAAGAACGATGCTGTCTTTGGCCGTGTTGTCTCAGAAGTCATAACCAGCAGTTGTGAGCATCCTCAGAACTGTTGTAATGACTGCAAATCTTGCACTGGGTGAGAAGCACTCTTCTCAGAACTGTGAAGAGACTTACCTGCTAAAGTGAAGTCGCTCAGTCGTGTCTGACTCTTTGTGACCCCATGGACTGTAGCCTACCAGACTCCTCCATCCGTGGGATTCTCCAGGCAAGAGTACTGGAGTGGGTTGCCATTTCCTTCTCCAGGAGATCTTCCCAACCCAGGGATCAAACCCGGGTCTCCCACATTGCAGGCAGATAGATGCTTTACCATCTGAGCCACCAGGGAAGTCCTGTTTACCCGCTAAGGATGTGGTGAAATTGGAAGACAGCGGCCAGAGAAGTGAAAGGTTCCTCTCTGGTGGGACAGTGTAGCCTGGCGATAGGAAGCACTGGGAAGGGAAGGGAAAGAGATTAGTCCACACTATTGGTCTACAAATGTTCGGAAGCCCTCCTTAGGAAGAAAGCCTGTTGGGAGTTGCTGTTAGTGTTAGAGCCGACAAGCAAGAGGAGAGTTCTCATCTTTCCCAAGAAAGCTGTCCAGAGACTGAATGAATATCTGAAAAGGGAGACGTGATTTGCTTAATAAAACTGTCCCGATGTCAATTGTCAGCCGCTTGGTGGGAACATTGGTAAAGGGAACTGAGGATTCATGTTTTATGTAGGAATTTAACTAACTTGACGGTTTCTTCTTGAAACCTAAAGGTTCTCATGACTCTGTAAGGTAGACCAAAATATTTATAAAACTTAGAAAATGAAGCATCAAACCTGCCGCATAAATATTTATATATGCTTATACTCAGAAACGTGAGTTGATTCCTCTCTCTGGAGTGGAGGTTGGTAAGGATTGCAGAAAGAACACTTTTTTTAAAGACTTGGGCATAGTGTCAGATTCATAAGATGTAGCAACAGATGCTAACTCTGGGGTTAAGCAGAAAAGACATTTATTGAAAAGATGTCATATATCTCATTACTGAAAAGGCTACAAAATCAGGCTTGGGAAACAAGGACAAAGTTAGATAGCAAGAGAAAAGCAGCCAAAATCATAGCACAAAGGTAAAATTAAGAGGATACCCCAACACTGGCCATACCAGCACTGAGCACCCATGCTGCCCTGCAAGCGATGCTACTGTTACTGTGACCCTGGCTCTCCCACAAAATCGGTTCTTCGCAGTTTCTGCTTTATGCCTTGAGCCCCACATCTAAGCAACTGATAGAGCTTGTGAATGCTCACGGGCTTCCCATGTGGCTCAGTGGTGAAGTATCCACCTGCCAATGCAGAAGATGCAGGAGACGCTGATTTTATTCCTGAGTCAGGAAGATCCCTTAGAGAAGGAAATGGTAACCCACTCCAGTATTCTTGCCTGGAGAATCCCATGGAAAAAGGAGACTGGCAGGCTACAGTCCATGGGGTAGCACAGTCAGACACGACTGAGCACATATACATGCTCATGCTCATGAATGCTCACACTCGAGCTGCAGGAGATCAGGGAACAGAAGAATCTGGTGGTGTCAGTCCTCTAGGGGGAAGTGGGTGCTGCTTCCCACCAAGAGCCCCATGAAGATAAGGTAGAGAATTCTCTAGACATTGAAGATGTTGGGCAGCCCCCAGATAAAAGACATTCACTGAGCGGACACTCCAGACTTTACTCCATGGGATAGTGATAGGTCTTCTCACAAAAAACATGGAACAGTTTTTAGCATGTTTTTGCAGCCGGATTCCTCAGAACCTTTGTCATATGAACATGCATTGTGCTTCTCGAAGAGGAGGATAGGGTGTGCAACATTTGGCACACGTATTTGAGCAAGGCCTTCTTTTTTATGGTAACTCTTGAGAGGAGTGTTCTGAGAACACTGTTTGGGGAAATATGGAAGGATAGAGGTCATGCCCAGGTGTAGTAAGAGATGACAGCCTTTAGACGGAGGGTCAGAATGGAGACTGCCTTGAATTCTGCCAGTCTCGTTCAAGTTTGAGTCACTGGGTGGTAGTTAAGGTGAGGCTTGAGCCTGACAGTGCTAGGTAACCTGAATTGGTGCCTCCGAGGAGGCGCTGATTGTGGCATACTCAAGGGTTGGAAAAGGACAGTCGAGAAACAGAACCCCATGGGAAGTTTTAGTCAGTTATGATTTAGAAGTAGGAATATAGATTAAAAAGAGACTCATGTATGAAAGGAATACCATGGATCATTGGTCCTGAGGTCAGCAAATTACAGCCTTGGAGCTAGATCCACTCACAGCCTGACCTAAGAATGGTTTTTAAATTTTTAAGTGATTGGGGAAAGAAAATCAAATAATAATACTTCCTCATATTTGAAAATTATAGGAAATCCAAATTTTAGCATCCATAAATAAATTCCATTGTTCTCCCTAGTGGGCCTATATTACAAAAAACCTTGTTATTATTTTTCACTACATCACTTAGAAATATATGAAAAAATTTCCTTTTGTTATTATAATTACCTACATAGTATTTTCAATTTTGCCATTTGGCCTGCAGAACCTTCAATATATTTACTATCCTGCTTCCCCCCCCCCCCTTTTTTTAAGATTTTCTTTTTATATGGACCATTTTAAAGTCTTTATTGAATTTGTTACAGTATGCTTCTACTTTTTGTTTTGGGTTTTTGAGATCTTAGTTCCCAAAGACATATGGGGTCTTTGCTCCCCTGCACCCCCTGCATTGAGAGGTGAAGTCTAAACCACTGGACCCCCAGGGAGGTCCCTCTTGCTTCTTTTGAGACAGTCTTTGCCAGCCCTGTTCTAATCCACTGCCCTCACTTTACTGATACTGAAACTGAAGCTCAGAGCAATTTGCCCGGGGTCCGAAGGTTCCCAGTGATGGATCTGGGCTGGAACCTCTGTTCAGCTCCTCCTCCAGTGCTCCTTCTCCTGCAGCTCAGATGCATCAGTCCAAATGATGCTGCATGGGAAGCAGTGGTGTGTGTGGGTGATGGGGCAGGAAGAGGCAACCTCCAGCTGTCTCCAGTGCCAAAGTGTAGTTGGATTATGATGGTGTTGGATGTGACCAAGAAGCACAGGAAAGGAGGAGGATTTAATGGCTTTGCTCAAATCTTAAAAATGACTCCAATTTATACCTCAGTCTTCCAATTTCTCTATTTCTGCATTTAAATGCATTTTATTAACTCACAGACTTTTAGCCCAAAGGTGAATAGTGTAGAAATCCCCTCTAAAGATCATTTCTGTGGCAATGTTCCATGTTGGTTTTGACATTATCACTTAGATATGGAAATATTCAGCTTTGTTTCTTGAAATGATTGGACTTTATGGATTTAGGTTGGCATGTTCTGAAATAGCATGTGTCAGTGGCCAGAAAAATAGGAAAGCTGACACTGAGAAGAATTCTGAAGTGAGGTCCCAGCCTCTGGGAAACAGTGAAATATCTAATTGTCAGCGTCAGCCATGAATATAGGAAGAGAACCATCCTTCCTTGGCTGTTCTGAGGGCTTCAGTACATTTGGCTGAGACGGACAGTTATCGCTCAGGAAGTGTGCATTGTCCACAGCCTTTCACTCACTTTCTCAACAGTGACTACTGAGGGGCCAACCCCAGAGGCTCACTCTCCTTGCCTGCTGAAACCCCTCACCTGTACTGGGGACTGAGAGGAAGCTAAAATCACAAATTCAGAGATTTGAAAGAAGATGAGTGAGACATGGTAGTGCTGATAGCCAGAGAGGAAAATGGCTTACGGTCTTCACCCAATGAAAAAATCAGTACAATTAAGATACCTGTTGGAGTCTGGAAACTTGACTGAAGAAGAGAGATTGGGGTTCTTTGATGCAGCCCTGGTTAAGGCACTCTTCTTCATAGCAGCCATTGTAGACCAATGATCTCCATAATTGTTTAGTACTTCTCTTCCCCAGTAGACCAGTGCTTCTCAAAGGAGGGCAGTTTTACCCTGCAGAAGACATTTGTCCGGAGACGCGTTTAGTTGTCACAGCTAGAGAGGGCAGTGGCACTGGCGTCTAGCAGGAGGAGGCCGGGGATACAGCTGCGTGCACAGGGCACCCACACACAAAGAATTACCCCGCCCCAAATGTCCGCAGTGCCAAGGTGGAGAGACCCTGCGTGGGTCCAAAAGACCCATCGGCCTTACTCAGCTTTTTATCCCCACCACCTGGCTGGGAACCTGGCACAGAACAAGGCTCTCAAAAGGCATCCATTGAATACAAGTGAGACAAGTCTGCCCTCCTTTCACCCTGTTTGCCTCAGTCATTCCTTTTGTGCCAGCAGGCACTCTCAACCCTGAGCACACTCATGGCACAGGACTGATCATTCCCTCTACTTGTACGTCACTGACCCTATTTTTGAGCTGCAGATAATGTCTGATCAGAAGGAGGTTATGTTTTTCTCTCTCATATCTCTGCCATATCTATACTGAAATTGACATATCTGTGGTTTTGTATCTGCATTCTTAAGGAATGAAATAAAAAGGTAGATATTTTCCTTTGCTTATACCACCTAGTATTTTGATGTAGAATGATGAGTTATATTACATGATAGTCTTAGAAGCAGTGATCATTAGATTTATTTTCAAGGATATCCAATACTGAATGTATGTATAAGTGATGGAGGAGGGGGAAGATTCCAATGTAATAAGCCTTTTTTTTTTTTAATGCAGTCTGACCATCTTTTACACTGTATAGGGAATGTTTATCTTTTCAAAGAGATATTTCTGGAAGGCTCTGGAAGTTCCTGCAGGGAACTGGCTCAGTGGGGTTGTACTAGGTCATCAGAGGAGCAAGTTGAACTCTGGAGCGCCCCATTCATCCCTCTTTCTAACAAGGCAACTTCTTGAACTAGGGAGCTTGCATTGGTTCATAGTTTCAGAGATGCCTGGTCCAGGCCTGTATAAATTTGTGAAGCATTAGAGGGTGGAGTATGTGCAGTCCAGCTTGGCCTGGAACAAGCTTGCAGTTCAGTGGCAGAATGAGAGCTGAGCACATTGAGTATGCTATCCCTTTCTCTGGGTGTCTTTCCCCAATAAGCCCATTTGATATACACACTGTGGCTCCCTTAGAAACTCACATTCAGCCTTCCCACCAGATAGAGGAGCAGTTCAGTTGAGCATTTCTATGTGTTGACCTAATCGCAGGCTATTTATCATATTCCAAATGATTTCTCTGTTTCATATGACTTAAAACTCTCAGGAGCAGGAAGAGAGTTTAATACTCATGAGCATGCATGTAGAGGAGAATGAAACGTACATGTTTATACGATCGCATCTTCTTGTCTGTGCTTCTGTCAGTTTTTTTTTTTAAACCAGAAGGAAGTTTTCAGTCAATATTGTGAAACCCTAAGAAATAATCTTGTGTCTGTTTTTGAGGGTATAGCTCATTACCTCACACAGTAAACTCTTTGAGGACTGTTGAGAATGATTTGCTTCTCCTGAGTTCCTGGTTTGTAAATGAGTATGTAACTGATAGGTTTCCTTTGAGAGTTGAGAATTTCATTGTTAGATCTTATCTGTTGCCCATCCATATACAGCAGGGGTTTCCAAGTTCTTGGCCTCAATCCTGACTCCAGAACGTCCTTATTTTTCCTGTAAGCTTTCCATCTACTTCAAATGTATCATCATTGTCACATGTACCTCTGTAAAATGTCTGGAAATGTTTTGGGGGAAAGGTAGGGGTATAAATAAATACTTGTAGTATAGTAGGCCCTCAAAAACCAGTTTTACTGGCTTCTTTTTTTTCCCTTTCCAGATTGAGATGCTTCCAGACGGGCTGTTTCAGTGCAAAAAGCTGCAGTGTTTACTCTTGGGGAAAAATAGCCTGATGAGCTTGTCACCTCACGTGGGTGAGCTGTCAAACCTTACTCATCTGGAGCTCATCGGTAATTACCTGGAAACACTTCCTCCTGAACTGGAAGGGTGTCAGTCCCTAAAACGGAGCTGTCTGATTGTCGAGGAGAATTTGCTCAATACTCTTCCTCCCCCTGTAACAGAACGTTTGCAAACATGCCTAGATAAATGTTGACCTAAAGAGAATAATTTTTAAAAGTACATTCCAGGGCTTTAAATGAGAACTAAAATTTCCTAAGTTATAAAGATGAACAATGGATAATTACGACTAACTATAACCAAATGTCTTATTATAATAAGGCAACTCAGTGTCTAAAACAGGTAAAAAGTATTAACACTGAAACAAAGTTTTGTGAATAATTGATCTTTAACTTATAGAGATATAAGAAGTGTACACTTGGAGGGTAGAATGGGGCCATGAAATTATTGAATCTCTACGCTGCAGTTTTTATCTTTTGAAGATGAGATATTACTTACTTGCATACTTGTTTTAACTGACTTCCTGTTTTGATATTTATCACCTAGGCCATAAACTCATCAACATAAATTCCCTTGAGGTACACTCAGCACTGTCTTTGATTTATGTTCTTAAATACTTTTAGGCAGGATGCATTGTGCTTGGCAGAGCTCCTCCTTGGCTTAATTTTTACTTCCTGCCCCAGCTTGTTTGAGTCTTCCTTCATCTGGTTTTCTCTTAACAACAGTGATGAACCCTGAGAAAGTGCCTGCCTGTGGCCTTTGCACAGAACAGGAGCAGGGTATTTAGGACAAGTCATCCTCGGGCCATCCTGAAATTTTAATGTATCCTCTGCAACTTCTTGTATATCATCGGAGCCTTTTTTATTTGCTACTAATTTTTATATCAAATGCAAGACATATAAATATTTTCTATTGTGTAATCTTGGATTCAAAATCTGTGAGAATAGTTTTTGTAAGGTACAGAGAACACATCCTTTTCTTTAAGAACTTACTATTAATATACTTGGTTTCGGCTGCTTATGAGTCTCACGTTTGTGCGCACTTGGCTCCAAAATGTTTTTGTAGTCTGCAGCTAATTATTTCTGGATAACAAAAGCCTTGTGTTTCGTGCCCTAAAATATTTGGGGGTTTCCTTCCAAGAGGACGGCCACATCATCTACCTCTCTCTTCCCTAGTTACTGTGCTGTTGTACGGGTAACCATTCTTAATTACTTCAAAAACTGTGATGGAGGGGAGAGGTACAGATTTGGATCTTTAAAACTGATTTTCAAGCACTCTGTAGAAATTAAGTAAGAGTTAAACAAAATACTTTCTTCTCCATCTGCATGATGTCTAGATAGGATTATAATGTGAAACACTCAGCCTCTATTCATTGTTTAATGTGGGTTCTCAAAGCTCACAAAGAAATAGATCTAATTAACTGAAATTCATCTCATGCCTTTGTTGAACTTTTCGGGAATACATTTTGCTCTTTTTTTTTTAATAAAGAGTTTTGTGTTTGGCTTTTTATTATCATGCACATTGTAAAATGAATAAAGCCGACTGACTCATTTTGGGGAAATGTACATTTTCGATGTGTTTTTCTCTGTGTCTAGGCATTGTGATGCCATTTCAAACTATGAAATAATCTATGAACTGCACCTCGACAAAACTGGAAAACACTATGGGTAAAGAGCACTGTAAACATGGGATTGTGATGTATGGTATGTTTTTTCCTTTGCCTTATCCCTTCCAGAAGGATGAAAATGAGTTTTCAAATTATGGCCAAATGTAGCTTCCCTCACCTGCCACACACCTTTGAGCTGACATTCAGAGAAAAGAATTGTTCACATCAAATAAAATTTGAGTCATAGCTATAAAAAAAACATAAAACATCAAAAGCTGCCTAAAACACTGCTGTTTATTCTGAATGAGGAGGAACAATGTAAAAAATGCAATTCTTACCAAAACTTGCCTTTAGTCAGAACACTCAAGCTCTCAGGGACCCAGGCATAACTGATGAAACTTTCTTCTAGGACTTAAACAGATTCTGACTCTATCTAGTTTTTTGTTATTTTCAATCTTTTTAATGTGAGATCATTGTCATTTTAATGTTTTCCATCTGTGTTGCACGGTAGAATTGTTATGTGTACCAGTTCCAGTGTTGGATGGATTATCTTGTGTTTGGAACATGAATATGATACATGGAAATATGTTCATTTGGGGTCATATAATTACTCATAATGTGTATGAAAAATCTGATCCCTTTTGATAAGGAAAATTTTTCAAAACAAATTTCAGATTTACTACCATTCCCCTGGGGCTTTCCAGGTGGCACAGTGGTCAAGAATCGCCTGTCAATGAAGGAGCCGTGGATTCGATCCCTGGGTTGGGGAGATGCCCTGGAGGAGGAGATGGCAACCCACTCCAGTGTTCTTGCCTGGAGAATCCCATGGACAGAGGAGCCTAGCAGGCTACAGTCCATGGGGTCGCAAAAAGTCGGACGTGACTGAATGGTGTACACACCATTCCCCTGACAGTTTACAGCCCCTCCTGGCTGGTCACCAGGCTCTGTCCACCTGCAGAAGGCACTAGCTAAATCTTCCTTATCACCTGTCTACATTTCTGGAAGCAAGTTCCTATCATAATGAGTTTTGTAAGCTGTTTTCCAAACACAAGAATTTGGTTACTAGTGCAAACTCCTTTCTTGATGCATAATTTTTAAGTTAACATTTTTATTTCAATCCTACACACCAGTGTTTAGGTAGCTTTGGGAATGATGTAGCACAGGTGCCATGAACTGTGAGAGCACCACTTAACATGCAGAACTGTGGTGTTTGCCAACTTGAATGCAATACTGGAGCAGATCTTCATTTTGGAAGAGGATTTTCAAAGAAGCAAATGAAGTTTATTCAATTATAATTTTGAGACTAGTTGACAACTTGCTTTCCAAGAATGTGTAGTGCATTTTCCAAAAAATAAATATGGATGTTATTCAGAACAAAGTTGACAGCTTATGCTAGCTTGGATGCATTTTATTTACATACACACACACAGATACACAATGATGAGCCTGCAGGTGCATCCCTGTGTGTACAAAATGTAATTTATTCGTTTTGGATATATGTAATATTTTTCCAAATTTGCGAGTGGTTGTAGGTTAACGCTAAAATCTTAATTATTTTTTATTCCTTGTAATCATGGAGTGCTCTATTCTCTTAGCTATAATATTAAAGTGAAAAAAAATGAAAGTGAAAGTAGCTCAGTCATGTCTGACTCTTTGCAACCCCATGGACTATACAGTACATGGAATTCTCCAGGCCAGAAAACTGAAGCGGGTAGCCATTCCATTCTCTAAGGGATCTTCGCAACCCAGGGACCAAACCCAGGTCTCCCAATTGCAGGCAGATTCTTTACCAGCAGAGCCACCAGGAAAGCCCAGGAATACTTACTAAAACCAAATGCTCAGACTGGGTCAGCAACCTAGGTGGTTTTGAGCATTCCAGGTAAGGTGTAGTGAGTGTTCCCTCCCTAAAGTACATCAAGGTCCATCTGTGTGGCACACAGAAAAGGTGTCTCCATTCTTCATCCTTCGTCTTCATTTTCTCCTGATATCACCATGTTTCACTGTCACTTAGCAAATGTTTGTGTTAAACAGGGTAAACAGAGATGCCAAGATCTCATCGTTGTGACATAGCTCCAGTGTATGTGCTGTGGGGAGCTGCAGTGAGTTATCTGTATAAAATTATTGTTTGGTAGTGGAAATATTTGTTTCTGTTCTTTGGGTGTCTCAGGATTTAAATTTTGTATGTTGAATTAAAATATTGCATAATATTGATGGGTTCAAAACCATTAAAATAATCAAACAATTATTCTGTGGGTTTAGTTTTATTTCTTTGTATTTTCAATCAAATACTCTTTCCATCTAAACTTTCTTGTAATGTTGTCCCATCCACATAAGCTATTTTGTTTTCCCTCTCTGTTCACCCACCTCCTTAAATTGATATAGTAACAGAATATATATGTGCTAGAGAACTTGAAATAATACTGGAGCATGTATTTATTTGGGGGGAAGTCAAAGCCTATAATTATGCCTAATTGAACGCATCCTTGCAGTGTTCAGAGCTGATCCAGTGATCCTTCATCCATACCAATATAACAGAGAATGAGAATATAACTGTAAATCCACTTTGTTTTCAGGAACTGTATATTGCATCAGAATCTGTGTTTACTTCTTTCTAGAAACAAGAGGAAGTCTGGTCTGGGGAAGAGTTATTTTGCACCCTGGTTTGAATTATGAAGACATTATGTACATGAAATGGCCTAAGCTAATAACTGTTGCAAAATGCCCTGGATGTAATAATTTCTTCAGCTGTATCTGAAAGCCGAAGCAGTGAAAAGAAACCCGTTTAACTGGTTTCTTCCTGCCTCTGGTCCATCACTTCTACATCCACTGAGACCTATCTACTAAGTACCTTTTGGTAATGAACTACATTTTCTTCACCTTTTAAAAAATACGAACAGTTCCATCAAAACCTAAAGTATTAGCATAGAATATCTAAGAGCCAAAGTACTGAGTTGAGATGGCTTCCAATTGAACTGAATTCATATTTAAATTTTGCATTTGACTTGTATAATACACTACAGGCTGAGAAAAACAATTAGGAATGCCTCCTGCATGTTACATGTTATCTCTTAACAGAGATGGTGCAATTTAAAAAATTCAAAGGGGCATAGAATTAGCATGGGTGTGTTTGTACATATATGTATTATGTATAAACCTAAATATTCATGCTTAAATATTTTTCAAGCTCTTCAAATGTTTCACTCTCAACAAAATAAAGGGCCAATTCTGAGAAAAAATATTTTGTGTAGTTAGCTTCACAGGGAATGCTAGCATTTGTTATTTTGTTTTTGTCATATATTTTAAAACATGTACATAATTGGTTTTTGCTTCTGGTAATGAATTATTAGAAAATGTAAGATTTTGTTGTGAGCTGAATGCTTTTGGCCCTCAGGTTTACCATGTAAATCTGGATTTTGGTGTTAAATCCCTCTGCCTGAGATTTAGTACTTTTGAGTGAACTTTATTGTTTTTAAAATAACTTTTATGTAACATACAGATTCAATTTTTATAATAAATAGCAAATAAAAACAGATTCAGTGTTGGAAGAAGTTGACTGGACTAATTTTACCTGTATGCATTTATCAGTGCCCAGGTTCCAGAAGTGAGTCCCTCCTCTTCCCAGGGTTCCCTATGTAGTTGTGTTGTTATATTGTTCACCAAATGATAGACTGCAGATTTATGTTCTGTACTTGTCTTCTAGTTGCTAAGTTGTGTCTGACTGTTTGCAACCCCATGGACTGTAGCCCGCCAAGTTCCTCTGTCCATGGGATTTCCGAGGCAAGAATACTAGAGTGGGTTGCCATTTCCTCCTGCAGAGGATCTTTCTGACCCAGGGATCGAACCCACGTCTCCTGTGGCTTCTGCATTGGCAGGCAGATTCTTTACCACTGAGCCACCAAGGAATGGTGGTATGGCTCTCGTAACAGTTATGAGTTTTTAAACTATGCTACAATGGCCACAAGGCTCTGAAAACTGTTGGACTGACCCTAGAATACACTGTGGGAGGGTATGCAATCTGTCACTCTCCTGATTCATCTGTCCAGCAGTGTTCGTTCCTCGGGACTGGTTCACAAACCAACCCATCTCTCTCCCTTTCTTCTTGGCTCCTGTTTCTCCATTTGCTGTTAGTTTAGCATTAACATTGACTAGTGGACCAGATGAAATAAAAAGTAAAAAACTAAGGAGATGTTGAAGTTTAGGTAGGGAGAAGAGATGGAATTATCTGGTAAACCAGGTACATAATAGTTTGAACTTTTGGATAGAAGACTTTTCCCCTCTGTCAATCACGTACTCAGAGTTTCAGGAGCACATTAGGAAGCAGATACCAAGAACTTCTCTCTGCTGGAGGGCAAAACTTGATATAGACTGAAGCAGGTTATGAAGGAAACTAGATGGCACTATGTTCCTCTGGAAATGTACTTTAAGCAAGGCTTTCTCTCACCTCTAAATGCCTTGGGGATGGGAGTGTGTTGAGGGGATGACACCAGTTCCTGACCTAAGGCATCCCTGCAAGGTGGTTTAGCTGGGTCCCATCCTAACAGCCCGGAGGCAGTCACCAGCCCCCGCAATCGTGGCAACAGTGGTGGCTCCACGGTCTTCACTCCTTTCCACTTTGCAAACCGCTTTGCAAACATGCTGGGAAGGGAGCCTGGCTGCGCAGCAGAGGCTGTGGCCGTGCTGCTGAGGCCACAGCCTGATGCTCTGGAGCTGCAGCTCATGCTTGGGTGTCTGCCCCTTGTTTGGATTCTCTGAAATCCAGGTTCCTAGCTTGTTTTCTGTGTCCCTCTCATCTCTGAGATCCAGAGAAAAGCAGTTTATCCAAAGGCACAAAGCCAGAGCTTGAACTCAGCCCCATATTTACAGAAGAATATCTATATGCCAAAGAAGGATCAGAAAAAAGTCATCTTTCAACATGTGTAGTCTCTTTTTGGAAAATATAAGTCTCTCTTCACCCTGTGTTGTCTCATTATGCTCCAGATGAGAGTTCTAAGTCCTGCCTCCTAAATACCAGTAAGTACTTCTATAGAACAGCCTGTGTGCCACTGAGCTTTTCAGATTACTTCTTATATAGCAAATACCTTACATTCTGTGTGCCTTTTTACACAGGCCTGTTGTTGGTTTGTGTAGGGTTTCAGGCACATCATTTTTTTTACTCTCTGCCTCCCTCTGCCGCTGAGAAGAGAATAAATCAAATAGAGGCTTGCCTAATTCCTATTTCTTCCCCTTTTATTCAGTTTCTCCTTGCCTGCCTCCCGAGGGAAGATCTTTAGAATTCAGTGGCCCTCGCTTAATCTCAGAGACTCCATCTCAAATGAGATGCACTTAGAAAGCCCTATGCAATGCCCAGCACCAGCATCAGACAGGACATGTTGGGTGCCTGGGCAGGAAACAATTCAGCAACCTTAAAACGTGCTTTGAATGTTCATTTATTAGGTATTTAGTAAAGATGGGGGAGCTGGTTTTCTACTAGTAAAAATCATTGACCTTATATAGGCTAATTATTTCCTTCTCCAAAAGCAATACTCTCACAAAAATGTGAGGTAGAGCTTAAAGATGACTGAGCAGAGAGACAGCTGGGGGTTGGGGAGAAAGTATAAGTAAGTCTTCATAGCATTTCTATCAAACACCCCAACAGACAGTCTCTTCTCCCAGGCCTCACGAGCAGGCCCATCAGCTGCCGGGTCTCTCCTCTCTTTTTTCCCTCCAGAACATCCTTCTCTTTTGACCCAACTCTTTCCCTTCCCAGATTTCAGGAGCTACACACTTCGGTGTCTCTGTCTCTGACTGAACCATTTAGCATTGTCCTAACCACATATTCCATGCTTACATAAATCACCCTTTACTAAATCCCAACTTTGAGAGTATTAAATACCCATCATATCAAGGGAGATGTTTTACTTTGTAGTCATCAAAATAAATGTCTTTGAAATCACAGTGTCCAGAGGAGTATGACTGTCAGCTGGCTCGACGTGCTTGGAACCCTAGGAACTGGAGGCAAATGGGATTATACTAGGGACAGGATGGTTTCCCAGATTCCTCAGGTTGTAGGTTTACCAGAAGAGGAGTCATAGATTTGGACCATTGAATATAACATGCTGAATAAAATAGGATGCATTTGAAAAAGTAAATAAATGTCTTTCAGTTATGAGGATGGTCCATTCCTACAAAGTGGTTTCCTGTCACAATTTCAGATTCCAAATGATAGACTTATTCACTGTGCTGGATGGAAGTAGGACCAATTTGCAGTCCTTAGGCTAGGAACCTAATGGATTGCATATGAAAACCCAAGTTAATTGGTCCTGACCTATTATCAATTATTCCAATAATATTTGGTGTTCTTTGTAAGTTAGTACCAAGGCAAATGTTGGAACATTGCGGGGACCAAATGCCACCTGTCTGAAGGGAGTTTCCCTTTAATCTTCCCTTAAACTGGGTTAGGATTCACATCCTTGTCTTATGTGCTTATGTCTTAATGTGCTTCTATGGCATGTCCTAAAAAAACTTCACAGGTCATTTTGGGTTTGAGAAAAGAGCGGTTCTGTCACCTTTTTCATAATAGACTGAACCAGTCTCGGGCAACTGCTCTGTAAAAAGGGAAACCCAGAAGAAGAAGCCAAGTGAAAAAGCATTAATTCAATCTGCATTCTGAGGCCTGAGGGAAATTTGCTGGCCTGATGATTCCTGGGCAGAACAATATATTATAGACCTCATTAATGGCTTCAAACTGAGGAAAGATAAGAAAGCTAATCATTTCATCCCTGCTCCTTCAGCTTGGAGTCTGCCACCTTGAGGGAAACATCACCAATAACATCATTTGCCTTCTACAGACTCCCAGGTGGCATCAGTGGTACCTGCCAATGCAGGAGACACAGATTCGATCCCTGGGTCGGTAAGATCCCCTGCAGGAGGAAATGGCAACCTGCTCTAGTAGCATTGCCTGGAATATTCCATGGACAGGAGGCTGGCAGGCTACAGTCCACGGGTCACAAAGAGTTGGACACGACTGATCACGTAGCTCCTGCAACCAGCCAAGCACTCTGGTAGGTTCTTCATGTGTGCTGTCTCAGTCCATCCAGCAACCTTATTTGGTGTGTGATTCCCAATTTATAGATAAGACAGCAAACTTAAAAATGAGAACTTTCCCAACATCTTGTGACTGTTCAGAAGAGGAATCCAATTTAATTTACAGGTCTGCAAAAGCTCTTTCTACAGAGATTTAGGTAAACAGCACCCAGGATGAGCACTTCACCGTCTCACCCACCTGAGTATTTGAAGACTCACAGATCATGCTCTGCTCTTCAGAGTTCACTGGTCTCCTCTTGGTAGCTTTAAGCCTGTTGCTTCCTCCTGTTCCATAACTATCTTAGTTTGTCTTCTCCTGAGCCAATGAGTCACTTCCTGTCCATACTATTACCCCCATCCTTTCCTAGGATCACAAGTTTCCAGCAGAAGAAACCATGGAGACTTTTTAGACAAGGAAAACCTAGGTGACTTGTCTAAGATCACAAGCCCACTGCCTGAGAGAGCTGGCACTGAAATCTGCATATCCCCCTGTTTAGTGCTCTTCTCAGGAGCACAGAAGTCTATAATAGGGGTCTCCAACCCCCAGGCCATGAACCAGTACCCATCTGTGGCACATTAGGAACCAGGCCACCCAGCAGGATGTGAGTGGTGGGCAAGTGAGTGACGCTTGATCTGCATTTACAATCACTCCCCATTGCTCGCATCCTTCTGATTCATGGAAAAGTTGTCTTCCATGAAACCAGTCCCTGGTGCCAAAAAGGTTGGATGGAGTGTTCTGTGCTTAAGTCGCTTCAGTCATGTCCATCTCTGCAATTCCTATGGACTATAGCCGCCAGGCTCCTCTGTCCTTGGGATTCTCCGGGCAAGAATACTGGAGTTGGTTGCCATTTCCTCCTCCAGGGGACCTTCCCATCCCAGGGATCAAACCCACCTCCTGCATTGGCAGGCGGGTTATTTGCCACTAGTGCCACTTGGGAAGATCCGCTGGTCTAAAACCAAAGCCTAGTGGAAGAGCCAAGACTAGCACCCAAGCTTTCTCCCTAACTGCAAGTCCTGTGCCTTCTCTAACAAGCTGCATTCATTTTAACTGTGTCCTGTATCCCGATAATAACACTTTCTGTGCACAATGCAGTGCTCAAAGCAGGGCCCAAAGCACTTGAGGCTCCTATCCCCACTTCACTTATCAGATAGCTAGGCTCTGAAAGGAGCCATCAATAATTAATCATTATTGAGAACTTTTGAGTTCAATGGCCATAGACTTTATAAATGTGTTTAAAATGTGTTAAGATAGGCATGGTCTCCATTGACAGAAAAGAGAAATCAATCCAGGATGGTTAAATGACATGAGGTGACATGTTAGATTATATAGCTAGTATGTGGCAGACCCAGGGTTTGAACTGGAGGCTCTACCACTAAAGCACTGCTTTTTGTATACTGCACACTGCCAAGATCATGTGACAAGCAAGTGATGGTGGTGTGAAAACAGCCTAGGATTTCAGCATCTGATCCAGTATTCTGTCCTTTAGACTGTGCAGACATGCTGGGAAAGGGTTGATACGCACACAGATATATCCATACACATAAACACATCACTTCAAACACCCTTTAGTATAAATACAACAATTTCATCCAAACGACTAACGTAATTTTAAACTTCGTGGTTATTTTTGAAACTGCAGAATTTTTTTTTCAATGTCCTAACCTAAGCTGTGAGCACATGTGCTCTCGTCAGAGGAACAGAGTGCCATTCTGAGTTTCAGACCCTGTGGGAGATGATGGATGAAGACCTTATCCTGTTAAAAAAAAGAGTTGTCAATATTTTGGTTCTTGCTTCAAGGTGCACATGGGGCTCCCAGTCAGTTTGGGTTTAATACAGAATTGCTGTTATAGTTTAACTCCCTGAGAATCTTGGTTTATTATACAGAGATGCTGGCAGACATTTTAGACTTGCAAAATGACTACCAATCACACTTCAGGCTAAACTGATTCTAAATTCATCCTGCTGATGTGGACTTTTGGAGAGTGCGGAGGAGGGGTGGTTGATGCTCCCTTATTGAATTCCTGCTGTGCTCTGGATAAGGAGGTGTGCTCCTCACACCAAGCTGGTGATGTGTCCCCCCCTGGCTCTGCATATTGGCTGAACATACCCCTAAACATGGAGAAAGCCTCACCTCAGACTCTAAGAACACACTCTTTGAAGCCTTGGTTCACTTGACATTTCCCCTTGGTTTCTTCAGAACGCCTGCCCTTCAAGACAAGGGCACGTCAGACCCACTGTGAGCTGCCCAAACAACCACCTCCAAGGCCCTTCACACAGTGGAACTGCAGCTCTCACATGACCTTCCATCCCAGCCACCGAGCTCGGCTCAGGAAACAAGTGACTTTGCAGCGTCACATTAGCTGCTTTTATAGTCTTCTAGAAGATGAAAGAAATTGACCCGCCTCCCTTTTTCTTTCTGATGATGAGTCTAATTCCCCCAGCTTAGAAAAGAGTGCCCACTGAGATTTTCATTTTTTTTTTTTTGCAAGATTGAAAATGAGCCAAATGGCTCAGATGCTGCCTCAGATAATCAGCAGGGGCCCCAGCTGAGGCCCTGGCTAGAGTGGTTACAGGGAATCCCTTCCTCAGCGTGAGCTGTGGCTCGGGAGTTTGGACATGTTGAGGATGCTAGGGGCCAGCTCATAGTGGGAGAGAAAGTGGGATCCTTGTGACTTTTAGGATTTGGCATCGGCCCTTGCAACTGCCATTTCCAGTGTGATCTGTGGGTGCCTGTGTGCTAGGGTCCCCATCTAACAGAGCCTAATGAGAGGGTGAGCTTAGGTGTTCCCTGGGGCGCCTTCCAACTCCTGTATTCTGATCTACGTAAGATGCTCAGTAAGTGGGAAGTGTTGATCAGGGTTATTATTGAGTAATTTTCTTAAGAGCTTGAGCATGTCATGCATTTAATTTTTAGCTTTATAAATGACTCATTTTTATGGAATGTGAACAAGTCTTTTATTCACTTAAGAACCTACTGCATAACAGCAGGTGCAGGAGGATGGGATGGTTTCAAAGGGTTGTTTTGCCAAGCCTCCCATCAAGAGAACCGGGTGTGTGGTGAAAAGGAGCCACGGAAGGCAGGGCAGATAGGCGCATTCCCAGGAGGTCCTATGTCATCTCAGGTTACAGTTCCCTGTAAGGAGAAAAGACCTTGGGTGGCATGGGTGAAAAGGTGACCTGGGAGGTACTTGACCCTCTTGGGCTTTTAACAGCAAAGCATGAAATCCAAGGCTGATCCATCACTACTGATGTCCAGCCCAGAGTCTAACCTGAGACCAACTGCTGCCTCCAAGTTTTCAGTCCTTTGGTTTCTGTCTCATGGGGCTCTGGGCCTAAGTGTTCCACCAGCTAACAGCCTCCAGCTACAGAGACATGCTTCCAGGCTTGGGTCCACTGAGAGGTCCGCTCCTCCCTGCTTTAAGGGTACAGCCCCAGCAGGGTGCCAGCGCCAAGGGCAGACTCAGCTGGCTGATCTGACCCATGACTGGCAGCCCTGGAGCTGTGTGTTATGCACCTATTGTGTGCCCTGGTACCCAGCTCAAGACTGCTCCAGGCCTAGGTGTGAACTCTGCTGTTGAGAAGAGGAGAAGGCAAGCCCCTTGTCTTAGAGCTGGGCTGTCAGCCGGCTGCACCCCGGGTTGGAATCTTATCTCTCCCAGTGAGATCTGGGTAACCTTACCTCTCTGAGCCTCAGTTTCCTCATCTGTAAAGTGTAGACTCTATCCTACAAATATTTAGTGCCTGCTCCCACACAGGGACTACCTTAGGTATTGAGGATACAGTGGGATCAATAAGGACAAGACAAACAGCGTCCCACCCTCATGAAAACAGACCTCCCTTGGTCTCAGGAGGATTCCAGGAGATTAAGCACAAGGCTTAGCATCATGTTCAACCCCAGTGAGTGTTTACTGCATGTTAGTGGTCATGAGTTTTCCTCCCAAAGATAGATGGTAGAAAATCTTTTAAAATGTATTCTTTCTCATCTTTACACGTGCATTTCTCTTCCATGTTCCATTTGTCTAACTAACCTGAGTTCTTCCATTTCTCGGGTTTAATGGTCGCTTCCCCAGCACAGCAGCTGCCTGACCAGGTCCACATTCAGGCTCCCCTGTTGTACGTTCTCATGGCGACTGGCACTCTGCTTTGAGGTAGCCATCCCCTTGGTAACTATTACTCGTTTAATGTCTATGTTCCTGACTAGACTGTAAATCTGGTGTGGACAGCACCCATGGCTGCCTGAAGCGTCAGCACCGGCCTTTGAGGTTCTCCGTGAATATCTGCCAATCGGACTGGCCTGATCCATTAGGAGCACGCGGCCCCTTTCTTTCCTCCTTCTTTTCTCTCTGCTCATATGAAGAGGACAGACAGCCAAGAGATGGCTGAGAAAACCAGCCATGTCCTAGGCAGCACCCACATCTCCCTGGAAGCAATCAGGTAACCAGGAAGGCATCAGTTACCTGATATCAGGAATCAGTCAGGTAACCATATTAAGATGCAGAGGAAGGCAAGAAGGGCTCCCTGTTGGTCCCAAGCATGTACCCACCACCACACGGGGCACTGCTGAGAACAGGGCAGGCAGAGCATTCTCTGAGACCATGTACCACAGTCACGCTTGTCTGTTCTTCCACAGTCAGATTGTGTGATTAAAGGAAGAAGTCTTGTCTCTTGTAGCTATAGAGAGAAGAAGGTTGAGAAAATGAAATCCTCCACTCCACATGACTGGAATGATATTAGCAGCAGAAATGTAACCATGTTGACTTTTCACTCTGTCACCCAGAATGACAGGAGCCACCCCCTCCAACCTCCCACCTCAGTACCTTGAGAAAGAGACACAGTCATTTACATGTGACTCACTGGAAATGCTCATATTCTTGCCCTCTAGTACACTGTGAGGCTTAACAAAGCAGCACTGTGACCTGACCCCAGTGATTTGCTTCTGGCCAGCACCCAAACCCTCAGGGCACTGCTGGACTTCCCACAGGCATTCCTGTAGGCCCCCCACAGGGACGGGCAGGGCGCGCACGGCGGGCCACTGGGCCAGGCCTTCCCAAACCTCCATGCCTTTGCCCACCCTGTTCTCTCACTCAGAAGCCTCTTCCTTTCATATAAATTTGGAAGATTATCTAGCATCTATATACTATTTAAAGAGATGGGAACACCAGACCACCTGACCTGCCTCTTGAGAAATCTGTATGCAGGTCAAGAAGCAACAGTAGAACTGGACATGGAACAACATACTGATTCCAAACAGGAAAGGAGTATGTCAAGGCTGTATACAGTCACCCTGCTTATTTAACTTATATGCAGGCTATACTATGCAAAATGCCAGGCTGGATGAAGCTCAAGCTGGAATCAAGATTGCTGGGAGAAATATCAACAACCTCAGATACACAGATGATACCACCCTTATGGCATAAGGCAAAGAAAAACTAAAGAGCCTCTTGATGAACATGAAAGAGGAGAGTGAAAAAGTTGGCTTAAAACTCAACATTCAGAAAACTAAGATCACGGCATCCAGTCCCATCACTTCATGGCAAATAGATGGGGAAACAGTGGAAACAGTGGCTGACTTTATTTTTCTGGGCTCCAAAATCACTGCAAATGGTGAATGCAACCATGAAATTAAAAGACACTTACTCCTTGGAAGGAAAGCTATGACAAACCTAGACAGCATATTAAGAAGCAGAGACATTACTTTGCCAACAAAGGTCCATAGAGTCAAAGCTATGGTTTTTCCAGTTGTCATGTATGAATGTGAGAGTTGGACTATAAAGAAAACTGAGCACCGAAGAATTAATGCTTTTGAACTGTGGTGTTGAAGACTCTTAAGAGTCTCTTGGACTGCAAGGAGACCAAACCAGTCAATCCTAAAGGAAATCAGTCCTGAATATTCATTGGGAGGACTGATGTTGAAGTTGAAACTCCAGTACTTTCGCCACCTGATGTGAAGAACTGACTCATTGGGAAAGACCCTGATGCTGGGAAAGATTGAAGGCAGGAGAAGGGGATGACAAAGGATGAGATGGTTCGATGGCATCACCAACTCAATCGACATGAGTTTGAGCAAGCTCTGGGAGTTGGTGATGGACAGGGAAGCCTGGCGTGCTGCAGTCCATGGGGTCGCAAAGAGTTGGACACGACTGAGCAACTGAACTGATCTATCTCCCTACCTCTCTATCTACCTAGCAATAAATTTCTCAAACCTGCATTCATTCTTCAAGATTAAGACAAAATATTTTGTCTCTGACCACCTTCCTTCCCTCAAGTTACAGTTCAGTGCTTTTATTCTTAAACTTTATAAAAATGTAGTGAAGTTATTTTAGATTTCCTCCTCACTAAACTGACAACAGAAACCAAATCTTGTTAATTTTTCTTTTCCTTTCAATTAGTAGAGTGCCTAGCACATTGTAGGTACAGAATGAATGAAAAGCAGAAGTTTAGGCATTGGCACGGAGAAGGAAATGGCAACACTGGCAACACTCCAGTGTTCTTGCCTGGAGAATCCCAGGAACGGGGGAGCCTGATGGGCTGCCGTCTATGGGGTCGCACAGAGTCGGACACGACAGAAGCGACTTAGCAGCAGCAGTAGCAGGCATTGGCAAACCTCATCCCAGGACCAGGGGGTCAACCAGAAAGCCCAAGGAGAAGTACATGTGCCAGAAACTGCTTGTGGGTACTTTTTGTGGACAGACTGTGAATACGATAAGCCTTCAAAGGCTTGTGGGCATGTGAACAACATGAGGAAGTAGAACTTTGGGTGCAGACTTTGAGGGCATAATGGGAATGATGAGGTTATGGTATGAAAATCTTATGCTTATTCTACAGATGAGAGAACTGAAGCTTGAGAGTGTTAAATGTTTCTGTAAAAACTCACACTGCTGGTAAACAAATCTGGCTTAGAATCCAAATCTGATTTCAGAGGTTGTATTTTTGGATACTATGCAGAAACTCAACCAAATCTGCAAACACCATCTTGAACTAACATCCTTTAGGTCTTCAGGGAACATTCTCCTAGCTTGTTAAGTGACTCCAGCATGTCACTAACCCTTACTATGCCTACTTCAGTTTCCTCTTCAGTAAAATGAGAAGCATTGAGGTAGGTGACTATAAAGGAAGTTTCAGGCTCTGATTCTCTCTGAAATGCAAATGGTTTCCTAATCTGGGGATCAGTGTGGTCAAAACGTAAGTGTACTTATGTATTGGCTCTGAAAAACTTTTTCACAGGTTGCAATCGCGACTCCAAAACACAACAGACTGTGAAATACGATCTTTTAGTATTATCTTAAAGGTCTAGTCATTCTTCCCAAATGGGCAGTTAAAATATGCTCAGGCACTAAAGCATAACTGTTGAATTCACAGAAATCATCTGTTTATCTGAACAGTCATACTCAAGCCACAGCAAAGCTTTCACTTGCTCTCTACTGCCTTAGGGCCTTTATTCTACCTGTAATTCTGTATCATAGTGAAAGTTCAGCATTACACTAGTCTGACCTGTGGCACCTCCCCCCAACCCATCCCATAAGTCTCCATCAGACATAAATGCATTTCTCTGCATTCAGGCTGAATCTTAGGGTAGAGCGCTCTGAAAATGTCTGTGTGGTTCAGGATGAACTTCACAGTGAAAAGTTTCCACCCAAACCACTGACTAACATCCTGTTGTTGTTTTCATCAAATCTATGCAGTCCCTCCTTTGATTTGGCTTTCATTTGGAGTGATCTGTCCGATGCCATTTTTCTGAAACATTCAGAACAAGATACAATCTCATTTTGGTCAGTGACATAGAGTGGACCTTTCAGAGCATAAAGAAACATCTGTCCTCCATCTGCAGTGCCTAAAAAATACGACTTTCAATAGAGTACATTGTAGGACTCTAATGCCTTTAAAGGGCAAGAAATCCATTTCTGACTGAAATCTCCATAAATATGTCTAACAGAATATTTTCCTCTTACATGCTGTTTTTCAAAGAGCATTTCAAAGGCCATTAGGGCAGAGCATTTAATAAGAACACAATCTTTAGGTTTAACCAGACCTGGTTCAAATACTTTTTCTGTCATGTAGTAGCTGTGTGATCCTGGAAAGTGACTCAATCCTGATAATTTTAGATTTTCTCAGGGATGTAAAATAGAATAATTGTACCTGCCCTGGGAGATGACGTTGTCAAAGAGAATGACGTGTGTGTGTGTGTGTGTGTGTGTGTTAGTTGCTCAGTCATGTCTGGCTCTTCACAACCCCATGGACTATAGCCCGCCAGGCTCCTCTGTCCATAGGATATCCCAGGAAGGAAAACTGGAGTGGGTAGCCATTCCCTTCTCCCGACCTAGAATCGGGAGATCTTCCCAACCTAGGGATCAAACCAGGTCTCCTGTATTGCAGGCGGACTCTTTACCATCTGAACCACCAGGGAAGCTTAGTCGGGCACTAAATAAACATCAGTTGTTGTTCCTACTTCATTGTTGCTATTGTTAATCCTCGGGGCAGAGTGGCCTGATTTCTCAGGCAGCTGAAAGAACACAGGATTTAGAATTAGAAGACTTGAATTTGCACCCTGCCACTGCCGCTTACTAGTTGTGTGGCCTTCGGGAAACTACTGAATCCTCAACTCAGCTTCCTCACCATAAAAGAAGGAATATAAAAACTGATGCCAAAAGCTCAACTTCTCTGCACACCGGTGCCAAATCAAATCTCAGAGATCAGAGTGTAGTACAGAAGGATAGCTTTATTACTTTGCCAGGCAAAGGGGAATACAGCAGGTGCCTGCCTCAGAAAACCTTGTGCCCCCCACATGGAAAGGATAGTGAGAAGTTTTATAGTAATGCTTCATAGAGGGCTTGTGATCAGCTCATGGATGCTCTTCTGATATGTTGATGGTGAGGTAAGGATGAGTCTGCATCATCAGCCTTCAAGTTTCTATTGGTCTGGGGTCTACATGCCTGTGGGCAGCATACAATGGTTAATTGTAACTTCTTCCACCTGGAGGGGGTTTGGTATCTGCAAAACAACTCAGACATTGTTGTGTATATCCATTGATGGGGAAACAGGACCTTGTTTCTCTGGACTGTTTATCGCTAGTCTCGCATGCCCTTCCTTCCCTAATTAACAACGGCTTGAATCTGCCCATTAGGACTCAGGAAGGTCATGAGGCTGAAGAAAGGTTATTTCCTATCATCAAAGAAATGGGTGACACAGAAAGGCTTTGTGTCCAGGAGCCCCCACAACGTCCTGTTTGGTATCAAAACTAACTTGTGAGGTGCACATGAGCTGGTTTATGTGAAATATACTTGCCAACTGTCAAACTCTAAGCATTTAGCATTAGCATTATTTTGTCATTGTTAATATTATGGGCTGAATGTAAATGTCCCCACAAAATGCATATGTTGAAACCCTAACTCCCAATGTGATCATGTGAGGAGGTGGAGTTTGGGCATAATTAAATTTAGGTGAGGTCATGAGGGTGATGCCTCTAGGACAGGATTAGTGCCCTTATAAGAAGAGAGAGTCTGGAGCTCTCTCTCCTCCCCCACTCCCGACCTCTCTTTTTTAAAATTAATTTATTTTTTAATTGATGTGTAATTGCTTTACAGAATTTTGTTTCCTATCAAACCTCAACATAAATCAGCCATAGATATACATATGTCCCCTCACTCCTGAGCCTCCTGTCCCATCTCCCTCCC